TTTGGCTCTGTTGTTTTTTTTTTTTATTTACTTTGCCAAACTTGAAGCCAGCATCTACCATCTCACATCTGTTTTGGCTATTTTATTGGGTTCTTTTTGTTTTTAATTTCACTCCAACCCACTTAACTGCTTCTGACAACAAGGGGAATACTTATTTAAAAAAAAAAAAAAAAAAAAAAAACAAAAACCAACCAACCAAACAAAAAAACAAAGATGACGTTTTCACTTAAAAAGAGCCCCTCTCAATACTGTCTTCCTTTAGAAGAAATTACACCCTTTCTGTTAGGAAAGCATCCTTTTCCATCTTTCACAAAATCCCCACCCCATATCTGGCTAAATAACAAGCTGCTGAGTAATTGCAGCTTGAGCCTGCTCAGAAGAAACACAGGGGAAAGACATTTGTTAATTATTTGGTTTTTTTTTCACAGCAAGCCTGATGGAAACAACAGTACTTGACAAAGGCCCAGGCTGGTCTACGCTTGGGCCAAGGGCTGTGACTGCCTCACCCCAGCCTGTCCTGGCCCAGGAGGCAGCAGCCGTGCTCACAGTGCAGCCGGGCCTGTCAGGCAGCCTAGGGGGACTCAGGCACCCAGAAATCAGGCTGTGAGGAGGGGAGAGAAATACAGAAGGAAAGAGGGAGACGCCTAAGCACTTTGTGTGCCATTGCCGAAGTACTTCTCGTTTCTGTTTCCACTGAGCGGGGCACTCCCTTCCCCACAGCTGTGTGGGGAAGCCTGGGTGCCCGTGACTGCGGCTGAGCTCAGACATCCACACCACAGCTGGGGAAGCACGTGCAAGGGAGTGCTGGACACCGAACCCTCCTTCTTCTCAGAGGCCTTTGAATGGCACCATCAGCTGCCTCAGGCCTGCCGTGGTGTGGGGCTGGGGCCCCAAACTTGTAGCACCCTTGCCCTGTGTCCAGGCCTGGTTCCCAGCGCAGTGCACAGGCAGCATGGGAGTGTGGAGAGACTGAGTGGGATCTGACATCCTCATTAAGTCTGGGAAAAAAGAGATGCCTTCAGGCTTGAATCTTGGATAATTACTATGATGTCCAGTGAGATAAAATGTGGAATTACAATATTTAGCGCTGTTTATTTCAAAGCAACCTCTGTAACATAACCGCTGCTCAGCTCTCTACAGAAGGGTGGTTTTATGATTCCCTTTAGACCACTGTCTCAGACCTCAGCTCCTCCAACTCATGCTTCCTACCAGCTCTGCTCTGTTGGGGAAGCTGGCCTGAGGAGCTCCTCATGCCTCCAGGTGGCTGTGCCTCCTCCCATGCTGCCACCTGATTCATGAATCTTTCCTTTCCCAGTTCACTCTCCTTTTTTTTTTTTCCTCTCTTTTTTTTTTTTTTCTCTGAATGCCAAGGGAAGGAGTTTTTAATAGCTGAAGAACAAAAACACCTCCCACACCTTGCCTCAAAAAAGCTAACTCTCTGTCTTACTCATTTTGATTTCCAAACCTCTTCTGCTAGCTCAGTCTGCCTTTGAAGCTTCAGTTCCTCAATTACTAGCATGTGAGTATAACTTTAGTAAACCATAGAGCTTCAATGACCTCCAGGGGACAATCCGTGTGAGTAAGTAATTCAGATGTGCAATGGAGACTTTAAGCATTTAGCAGAGATAGAATAGTTTTCTGATGGATATTTTGAGTAGGTTGAAATGAAGATATAACAAGGGAATAGAATGATTTAAATCCAGGATGTACTACAAGGACCTCTCTCAAAGTATTTTATTATGATGGCCTGTGACATCAGAGGTGGATATTGGTGGTATGGCAGTAGAGGTTGAACCTTCCTGCCAATATTCTGTTCATTATTTTTTTTCTGTGAGATAGGTGGCAGCAGAGGGGCATTCTGACAAAATGGAATTTGACATGGAAGTGCTTTTGAACCGTGTTTGAGTCCCTCCGCGCAGAAAAAGTTGCATCCATTGACATTCATCAACATGTTGAATGTTGATGGAGATCAAACAGTGGAAATGAGTGCAGTGAGGTGGTAGGTGATTCGTTTCAGCAGTGGCAACACCAATGTGAAAGACAAGCAATATTCCAGATGTCCATGCACAGCTGTCACACCATGGAAAGAAGAACATCCTGAACAGTTCATCTGTGCAAACTGAATGGTAACTATGTTGAAAAATAGCATTTTGTAGCTGATAATTTGCTCTATCAAATAGCGCTATTGTGTTCTTTGCATATGTTTTAGCTTCCATAGAAATAAATAGCAGACATTACTTTCAGAGCAACTTTACAAAAAACCTCGAGAGTAGCCTAGAAGGTCTTCGTGGTGTCTAGGTCATGCTGGTGCAGGTGAATTGATTGGGTATTCTTGGAGGTTTCCTCTCCATATTCTGATTCACCATACTGCAGTGAAGATTTAACAAAGCTGAAAAACATTGTCTTGATGTACTTATTTCCTTACATGAAATCCAAGTGCAATGCGGTTAAACTACGGTTTTTTTTTTTTTTTTTTTCTTTCTGTTTGTTTGACAATAACATCACCTGCATATGCAACATACTCTCTGAACACACTAATTTTAGATCCTCGGCTTTTGTCATTATCAAAACAGTGTCTCTTTCCCACCAGCTCTATGTTGATTCCAACATCAACAAGAATCAGCTGTGCTGTAGAAGTGTGTCCGTGGGAATGACTGTGAAGGCCCAACTTCATGGTGTAGGGAAACAAGCTATTTTTGAACTATCAGTCTATCTGTTGCAAAGTGGAATTCAGCACAGTTTAATTTACTCCATTTCTGGACTGAGGTTTATATCCTGCATTGCATTCCATTTTGCTGGAGCAAAATTGTTAGCAACACCCAACTAAAACAAGCACCAAATGTTTACTCCCCATCACTGCCACCGCTTTGACTGCAGTGTAAACGCACCTCTAATGACTTGGCCAATAAGAGGGGAAAATCGTGTGTCAGAGCCAAGTACAGAACCAGGAATTTCGGCTGCCAGCCAGCTCATTAGATCACACTGTGTGCCTCTAATGAAATGCATTGATTTGTGACTCCTACAATAGCATTTTTAGGAAATCATTTCACTGGCTATTTATTTGTGTCTTGGAACAGACTGATGAGGTGGGAAAACTGAAGCAGACACGCGCTGATTACAAATCAAGAACAAAGTTTTAATAATGAGGCTAACTAACCATTGGAACAACTTTTCTGAGAATGTAATGGGTTTTCCATCATATCCTATTGCATAGTCAATACTACTTAGCTGTATAAAATATGTGCTATAGCTCCAGCAGGAGCTCTGTTTTTCCCTAGAAATGATTGAATTCTTTGCTTTCTGTTACACAAGAGATCAGACTGTGGTGGTGTACCAGTCCCTCTTGATGACAAAAAACCATGAGCCTGTGACAACTGTTGAGTCTGGGTGTTTCTGATTCTTTGCAGGAGCAGACTGAGATCCCATAACCGGTAGATTTAAAACTGGAAGGAAAAAAAAATCATAAAGGGGATTACCAAATTGTAAAGACGTACTCTGCAGAAGTGGACACTGATACTGACACTGATATAAAGTACTGTGATGAAATAGCAAGCTCAGAAGGCCAGTGAAGCTACAAACTCGCAGCATTTCAAAGCATCTGGTAAGATCTCACAGAATGTCTTGAAGTCAAAAAGAAAGAAGTGAGGTGAGTCCATGCTCATTTTGTACTTCACTGGGTTTCTCAGAAGAGCTGATGGCGATAGTGATGGATGAATAAGGTGAGCTGTTACCTACTTGGTGGTTTAGATGTCTTGTTTTCCTGGACTAGATCTAATTTCATATCCTTATAGATACATATAAGATATTGTCTTCTGCTTGTCTTCTTCTAGTTAGCGGTTGGCTAAATTTGATAAGAAGCTTTTTTTTTTTTTTTTTTTTGCTTTTGCTTTTTCCCCACTATGTTCTCAGCTAAATATGTCAGAACTGTGCAAGTTTTAGCATTCTTTGAAAAGTACTCCTCCGTCAGGTAGTCTTATATTGCATATCTAGAAATGGATGCATTTGGAATCTTTAAGTGAATCCTCAAAGTCTGTGTTGATACACTTTTTTGATTTGATTTCCATGTGGTTTTGAATGTTTCAAACAATCAAGGTAAAACAGAAAAAAATTAACTAAGACTTGCTTAGGGAAAAAAAATGTAAAGTTCTGTTCAAATTAATGGCAACGTTCTATGTTCATTTTTATGCTTGTTCCAGTTCAATCTTTATGCCTGTTATGCCACAGACGTGCTGTCTAGCAACGTAAGCTGTTCATGTTTAAAAACAGAATTCACCTTTAAATGTGCTTTGACTAAAAAAGTTCCTGGTGAGGTCATTCGCAGAGCAAGAGTTAATGCATCATACAAACAGCTAAATAAAGGTTACAATCTGAGTGGAATTATTCGGAGCTCAGGCAGAAATCTGGCATTTGCAGTCTGTCACTGGCTTTAAGAAGTCTGGCTCGCTCGGTGTCACTGCCGCCCAGACACATCCTGCTGGCTGTATGGCAGTGAGGGAGGGGACAGCAGCGCTGGATGTCTTCCTGCAAAAACAGCACAAACAGGAGCAGAGGGTGAATGGTACACGGAAGTGTCATGTGTGAAGAATGTGCGGAATGAGGGGTGAGTATGAGCGTGCCTTTGTCCAGGTTCCACAGAGTGACTCTATGGGTGTAAATAGCCATTTTTCTCCTCTCTTTCTCCTCAGGATGGCTGAAGGACTGATGTCTGGAGAGTGTATGGTCCCTGGTACACCTGGGATGCAGAGCCGAGTAAAGTGCTATGAAGAGCTGTGTGCCTCTTGGGATCTGCCAGCTAAGTATTGTAATTATTGGGCCCAGTCTGGTAAGGGTTTGTTGCCCTTCTTTATCACCAACAACCCTGGGGAGTTAAGGGTGTCACTTTTGGGCAGGGTACACCCTAAGTGTGTGTGATACAGCTGGGATGAAAATGCACCTCTTCTAAATCCCCAGGCTTTTGTAGATTTGGCAGTCTCTACAGAGGTGTTCTGCTGAGATTGTGTCGTGTGTTTTGTTCCCTTGTTTTGTTTCTGTAAGCCAAATGCTTGGCTGATTGCACAGGAAACCAACTGCTGTGGGTATTCACTTCAATGGGCAAACTTGAAACAAGTCACCAGGGACTGGCTACTACTGAGTTCAAAAAGAAAGAGACATCTCAAACCTGTAGCAAAGCCAAACTGTGGTGGGAAACACAAGATGCAAAGATGAGAAAAGTGGAAGGCACAGCAGGGGGAGAGACAGATAGAACGATGTTTTCCTGTCCATAATTCATTAGATTTAGGCAAAGCTGGAATGGAGATTTTAGAAGAAAGAATATTTTAATAAGGGAAATTTGTCTAATGTCGGGAAACATGCTCTTGTGCTGGTGTTCTATGAGCTGTGCACAGTAATCTGGGCATGGAAACACTCTGAAAAAGTTAATATGTTACTTGATAAAATGCTGCAAAACGTATTGAAAAGAATAACTTTCTGCGGGACAGAAGAGGGAGCAAATGACCTGTGGGCTTCTGCATCCATTTCACTTCTTTCCCCATTGATTTCAAAAGTCTCTCAGGCTCAGACAATTGAAAGACAAGGATCCACTGCCCAACATCCCCAAGGGAAGGAAAGAGAGTGTGTTTATACCAATGAGGGGGAAAAAAAAGAGGAAAAAGAAGGGGGGAGGGAAAGCCTGCAAAAACAGAAGGGATAGAAGTCCAAACTTGGATTTTGCTTCCTTCCCCCAGGCTCACACAGGAATAGCAGACTCCTGAAAAAAAAAGACTAGAGAAAGATTGCCATCTTCTGGAAGGATAAATATCTGCCATTATTCAGGATTCTAAATCTGGCATATTTTTAAAGCCGTAGCATATATGTGATAAATTTATTTTTAAACCTGAGCCCATGTCCATAAATCTAAATTCAGTCACATTTCATTAATATATGCTCCATGATCCTAGCTTTAGGAACTGACATAGCATCCTGGGGTTTAATGAGAACTCGTGCTTAAAATTAGAACCTTATGAATATTAGGGATTATTCGTAGTGAAATGAATTTGATTTATTATTGGGCTTAAAAACCAGTTGGGCTTTTTGTTTTGTTTTGTTTAAACTGAGCATTAAGAAGTCAAATTTAAGGTCTTCAGATGCAGAGACTAAACAATGAATAAATACTACTGCTCTTCTTTTAAGCATCAGCTCCTTCAGCAAATTAAGAACATCTGTGTAAAACAGAGCCTTGCTTTTAATCAAAAAGCCCACAGACAGCTTGTGAAGCACAGGAACTTTCAGCATTGCCTTCAGTTAGCCTATCTTAGTGATGATTATCTATATTAGAGGAGCTTAGGCAGTGGCTGGGATGAAAATAACTGTGCAGCCATCAACTGTAATGCTGGAGGCATGGAGGGTCAGCACTCTGTAACAGCACTGCCTCTTAGGCAGGCTCCTGAAACCCTGGGCTGTGCAGTCCCCAGAGCTATTGGTACACCTGCGTCTCCTGATGGAAGCATGGGGTGGGAGCAGCACCGCTCTCTCACACTTCTATTCCACGTGGAGCTGCTCTGAGCCCTCTAGCAACTGGTCCTTCTCATGAGAGGTGATGCCGTTGTTGCTGTTCTGCTGCCAAACAAGCTGTAACTAAGCCCTCAAGTATCACAGGGCCTTTAAGGTTTCAGGGCAGGAGCTCAGAGGGGACTTTGGGTGAGTATGAATCTTTCTGTTTCTTTCTAGCTTTCCAAATTCATCTGATGTGAAGCTGCTGGGAGCTGGAATTCCTGGTGAAATTCATGCCTTGGTAAAGCTGCCAGTATGAGGGACACCACCCTTTGAGTACTTCACTTGTTAGACTCACCGCTGTTTTGCAGAGCCTGTCTGTCACTCAGCACTTGTTCTGCTAAGGGACTCCGTTTTTTCATTACAACTCCCCTTGCCCGTGGGGAGAGCTGGAGCAACATATATTTAGAGTCTGAAATGGACAGTACTCAGAGCAAATTCAGCCACATAGGCTATCCTAGCCCCATTTTTTATTTTTCCCCTTTCTGTGATTGGAATCTGGCCAGGAAGACATCCCAAAGATGGGAACTTTGGGTTCTTGTCACCTGCTGAGGCCATGTGCACAGGAAGGGGCTAATTGGTGCCCAGAGTGTTGGTAGTTTTTAAGCTAAGGTCATTGTCCCCTGCAGCACCAGTCAGAGAACTGTCATCTCATTCCATTCAAGTTCCCAAATAGCCACTGCCCAGAGATGGCTTGGAATCCTTCTGTGCTTCACTGAAACTTTTTACTCTGTGAATGCTGCGTTTAATCCCAGTCCGCAGCACCAAGCGTTTCCCATATAATCTCCCAGAACAGCTGTGCTGTGATTGCATTGTGGATTATAAAATGACCATTTTCTACAAACCAGCTGCTGGCTGGAGGGATAGCGTTTAATAATCATGGGGAGGGAGTGGGCAAGGGAAGAGAGGAGGAGACGAAGGAGAAAGGAGGATTGAAGCAGTTTGGTTTCTTGGGAAATTTAGAGACAAGTAAAACCGAAGGCAAATTGTGAGTTCTATTTCTGTATTACTCCTCCAAATTAACAGGACTTCAAGACTTGCTAGTAAGGTAAATTGAAATTTCTTTCCTTTGGGGGGTTATCTAGGTTCTGTGGTCAGTTGCTGTCAGTGTATGGCTTTTATGGAGGGAAACATTTCTGAAAATGTTCTTATGAAGATGTTGTTCAGATTTGCTTCTTATCCCCTACAGTCTTGGCATCACTGGTTGAGTTCCTGCTTATGAATCATTTCATTTCTCTCTTTTTTTTTTTTTCCTTGTCACTGGTTCTGAAATAATATGGCCTTTGACCAGCTGTAACAAATCAACTGGAGAGAATATTTCTCCTACTACTGAGGATTTAAATTAGAAAAAAAAATGTTAGGTGTTTTGTTTGTTTGTTGTTTTGGTTTGGGTTTTTTTTTTTTGGTCAACATCGTGAGTGGAAAGATTATTTTCAATAAAAGTGTGAACAAACTGAAACCTGGTGAAGGAAAGTATAACCAAGAATGAGTGAACAACCGACAAACCACTCTGAAGGTTGGTGGTATCCAATATGCTTCCAGATCATCAATATGCGTCCAGATCAGTGAACTCTTTAGTTACCATGCCACTCAGATAGAGATAAATGGTATCTCTGGGGTGCAGCATCTCATTTGCTGAAATAAGTGCTCTGAAGGAAGCAAAAGATGCCAGAACATAAGACAGTACAGGAATTTCTAATGAACTGAGTATTTTCTTGCCTTTGATGAAGATGTTCTGGATCAGGCACTGTTTTCTAAGTGATGAGATGCTAATCAAATCTTGCCTTCCAAGCAGTGTTTCAGCAGCATCTCTGTTGGCCGCATTTCTGAGCTTGCTGGTTAGCAGAAAAAAGTGCTTCTAACTAACTGCATTGCTTTCATCTGTATTCCTGTAAGACTGTCACAAACAACTTGATTGTTTATTTCTGTATTTTCATAGTATTGTCCACAGTATGCTGGGCCTTTCACACACCTTCAGCGTTGGGTGAGTCAACAGAAGTTGTGTGAAGAGGCCAGCAGCAGGCAATGTCTGTACAAACTGAATCTATTTGTGGTCAAATATATTTTGAGAGTCATAAATAGGAAAGGGTGGGAGTATCTGGATGAAGTTGTGCCAAACATAGGGTGTGCCATGTGGGAAGAGGCATGCGTTGATTACATGAAAGTTGATATGTGGGTAGATGACATCTAATCAATCTGTGGAGTGATAAGATGGGTACTCAGAAGTCAGTGCACGGTTTTGAAGGAACCTTAAAATCTTAAGCTTCTCTCTGAGAGAGAAAGACCACAGGACCCTGGTACACAAACTGCTTTCAGAATTACTTACTGCGATGAGCTAAAACTGGGAATAATGTTTGTGACACCATTCCTTCTTAAAACAAAAAAACCCACCCTTTTGGCACTTTGTATGAGAGCACAGACACTGTTATCCAACCATTCTACCAAATTTATGATGTGCAGAGCAGTGCTTGCTCAAGTGGGAAGTACTGCTCTGAGTTTGAACTCAAACTGCTGGGGGTGGGTAGCTGGGTGTCCTCCTGGGGCAGGCCACTGTTTTGAGTGTGGTCTGAGAACATTTCCCTGTCTTTCCCCTCTCCGAAATCAGTATCCTATCTGCCTCCCTAGGTAAAGGAATTAACGGTGCTTGAAGAAGCGTTTTGGGGTACGTGGCAGAAAGAATTCTCATTTAGCTGAACAAAGTATTCGTCATGTTTCATGTAGTGAAACTTTCACTTGGCATTTGGGGGAAGTTGGTTAACAGCTCTTATCTACTGTCTTTGAGATGGAAATAACAATCACTTCTCTCATTTTCTGTGCACACACTCATACCGGTGCATTCAGTCCCAGTAGTTCTGCAGGGTCACCGTCTCTTCCCCCGTACACACCTCAGCGTATTTTGAAATGGTTGAAACTAAGCTATCTCTCCACTGCTCTGGCTTTTAGGAGAAGGGTCCTTCTTTGCTGGAATGTTGTGAGGAGCACAGACTGCTTCTCCTATGCATATCCCTTCCCCATGTGTTCCCCCTGGAAAAGCTAGGGTTTGTGACACTAGATGGCTGGTCTGACAGTTCCCTGTGTTTCTGTGTTGTAGATGGAGCTGCTGAAGATGTTGCCGTGGCGCCGTGCTTTCCTGGCAGTTATCCTGAACCTGCTGGCACTCAGCCTCTCCACCACTGCCTTGCTCAGCAGCTACTGGTGCACCGGGACCCAGAAAGTGCCCAAGCCTTTGTGTGGGAAGAGCAAAGACTCCAAGTGCATCGGTGTCCCCATGACGCCTGATGCAGCTGCTAGCAATGCTTCAGCTCAGGAGGAGGTCCATTACAGCTGGGAGACCGGGGATGACCGCTTTTCCTTCAGATACTTCCACACAGGGATGTGGCTTTCCTGTGAAGAGAGCATGGAAGGGCCAGGTAGCGTCTTGCCCAGATGGCCACAGCTTTTTCCCTTGCTTTCACTCCACAGGAGTTCAGAATTGGCAGGTGGAGACCAAGAGCACTTGAAAGAAAAGCCTTCTTCGTTTTCCTTGATGGCACCAACCCTGTGCACTGTCTTTGTACTTCTGTCCTTCACAAAGATGTTTACAGATGGTAGCAAGGCAGAATGCCTGTCTCTGGCATGCCCTTCTGTCTGGAACAGGAGCTGTGGAGTGCAGGTGATGGTGACAGTGACTTTGTGGTTGTACCATCCTGGTGGGCACTGGAGTGGCCCTTCTTTCCCTTCCCCTGAGCTCCATTCCTACACATAGTTCACTTCATGCTCTACAGGGCACATCTGTGCATATCCCCTGTGAAATTGAAACGGGGATTTTATTTGGTGTTGGCAACTTCTAGTTAACAACTGTGAGGATTACATTTGTTGACATTCTCCTTAAATCACCAAACTGAGGAGATGTATGAAATGAATAGGGATTGGGCTTTTATCAAACAAAAAGCAGTAAGGAGAGAAAGAGAAGTCCCGCGTTACAGATGCAGAGAAAAGCTTGAGAATATGACCAGAGAGAAATCAAAGGTAGGAGGCAAATTGACCTGAGAATTAGAGACACAGCATTTTAATTTTTAGTAATTTCTGTGATATTGTGACAGGTCTGACTTGTGATTTTTGAGTGTAAACTGGCACTGCAAACTCCAGAGAGACAGAGGCTGGTCATGCAGCCTGTATTAGATCCCATGTATTTTTTGCCCTGAATTTGCTCTTGCCCAGTCCTGCTGCAGTCCTTCCACAGGAATTGGTGCCACATCAGTACAGGTGGATGCTTCGCAGTGCACAAATGCACTTTACAGCCTGGCACATACATCAGGAATCAGAACTGACTGTAAGCTAAAGATGCAGTGATGAAAGTCACATCAGGCCCTTTCCACTGAGCCACTGCCCTGCTCTTCAGGTCTACCCAACACAAATAGAATCATAGAGCTGTTTGATTTGGAAGGAACCCTTAAAGGTCATCCTGTCTATCCCCCTTCTCTAACTGACTGACCATTCTAGTACAGCATTGCACATTTTCTTATCTGTTGCTGTAAGACTCTGAAAATTAATTAAATGAATAAATACATGCACAGATAAATACATACATAAAGATGAACAAAAGACAGAAGAGAGGTGGAAGCAGGAACATGCTTGAAAATCTCATGTCCTAATGAGGGGATTGCTTCATTACAAGCTTTTCCAGATATACTGTGGAAAGATATGTGTTTATTTGGGGCTGATTTGGTCTGAAGTGTGTTTCCATGGTGCTTGTGGGAGTGGGAATACGTAATTTGACAGCTTTCTCTGAAAGAATTATCTGGCCACCAGGCAGTCCTGGAATAACCCCGATGCTTGAAGGAATGCTGAGAGTATGTTACATCTGGATTGCACCAGAGCACGGGGTAGTCATAGTCAGCCTCAGTCCCCTGCTTCCTATAAAGTGAGTACTATCTACCCACTGCTGAGGGTCTCTGAAGCAAGCGCAGAGAGAACAACTTTTTTAAAAAAAAAAAAAAAAAAGAAAAAAGAAAAAAGGAAAAAAAGAAGAAGATGTTGATCAGCAACAGGAGTTTGAATTGAATTGAGCTGGAGAAAGGATTTCATTATTCAGGCTAATCTCAGGATCAGCTTTAGATGAGCCATTACTGAATAACCTCTTTAAAGTTCTAGGTGAAGTAGCAAGCGGCAAGTTAATGAAGACTGCAGATGGCACTAAACTGGGTAGCATCCTGAGAGCCACAGATGATAGAAGTAATACAGGGGATTGGGAGAGATTAGAACTGGGGATAGAAATTAAGAAAATGAGATTCTTACATGAAAAACTGCAGGCTTGTATTCTTGGGAGAAAGTACCATGCCAAATAGAGGACAGGACCCTCAAATGCAGTGGCGCAGTACACAGCTAAGAAAGACTTAAAGATAATAATGGTGGACCCTTTGTTAATAGTTTGTATCTGGCCTCTATAAAAAGCCAAAGCAAAAACAAACATTTGCCCAAATAATATGCCTAAACTGGGAGGACAGAAGGCTTACTTTCTGTGCAATTCTTTGTCTCAGAAGAGGATCTCATATCTCTAACATGAAATATATGGGAAGAGAATTTTTTTGCTTTCTTCTTGGGAAATCAATAACTGATTTGCCTGAGGTGAGTGGGAATACGTGTCCTCAGAAGAGGTGGGTTTGTGGTCTGTTGTAAGCTACATTTCAATTGCCCTGAAGAACAGCCCTCAGAGACTGGTAATAAAGTGGTGAAGAAGTAGCAGCAGATTTATATATTCACCAAAGACTGACAACATTTAAAAATTGCTGATTTTTTGTTTAGAAAGGCCACCCGTAGTTTTTCCCAGAGATTGCCTTCTCCTACCATGCCCCATGAGAGTATGGAAGGATGGTCAGAAAGAGGTCAAAAGTGAGAAGATCTGTCAGGTAGATTCAAATGACTGTTGCTGTGCAATGAAGAGAGAGGGAGAGGTATTCTTTTACCTTATCCTACACTGTTTTACAAGCTGATATCCTTGTTTTTTGTGTTTCAGAGGAGAAATGCCGTAGCTTTATTGAGCTTTCTCCACCAGCAGAGAGAGGTAAGAGCAAATCCCCATATCTCACCGTAGCTATCCAGTGCACCTCCTTGGGACAAGGGACCTGCAACATTTCTCCTGCGTGAGGACAGTGAGGTGGGTCCCCAAATACTCAGGCCTCGTGGATGCTAAAAATAGAAAGATTTCCTCCCAGATGTTTGCCCAAACTCCTGTCATCTGTGAGGTCAGCAACAGAAACCCCAGGCCTCCTCCCACATGAAGTGGGGTTCGTCTTTTTTAGTAAGTCATCAAGTTCAAGCTTGTCATCTCATGTAGTCAACAGGGAGGGGATGGACATCACCCAAGGGCATTCCTTCCCTTGCGCTGGATGTTCACTCAGTGCTGCAGTCTTGAGTTCTGATGGATGCCTCTGGGAGCCCAGTCACTTCCTTGTACTAAGCAATCAGGACATCCAAAAGGCACACTTTGAATGAAATCCTGCCTCATCAAATATCAAATCTGGGCTGGAGAGCTGACTGTTCCTGTCACACGGTTCGAATTATCCTGGGGATAATGTCAGTAAACCTGGATGGGCTGGAACACACACTGGGCAACTACAGCAGCCAGAAGGGAAATTAGTGTTTTAGTGGAGCACACCTTCTTTCTCTGTCTTGCTTCTCTGTCCTGTGACTTATAGATGCAGGGTCCAGAACCAGTGTTGCACTGTGCACATTAACTTCTCATGTTTATTCTTTTTGGAAAGAGCATTTACACAAATCAAATGATGCTGATGTTACAGGACCATTTTGAAATCACATGGATCTCCATTTTGTCATAAGCGAATGACCTCCCCGCAAAAGGAATTGCTCTTACATTTACCACAGTATGCTCCTTTCACAGGAAGCAGTAATTCCTTTTTTTGCTTCCTCACCTTCTTGTGCTCCATTCCCAGTCAGGGCTTCTGGTTCTATTGGTTCCAATGTCTTTCCCAAGCCTGAGAAAATAGACTCATGCAACCAGAATACATCTTTGTAAATACGTCTATCCCTCCTCACACTCCTCCTACAGCTTCTTAGTTAATTTCAACCCAAATCTGAAAGAAAGCCTCTGTTCTGTAAGACGCTGAGGTCTTACAGATTAATTGGAGTATCAGTATGAGCATGGCACTCACAGTATCACAGCTCCATCACCTGCTTTCACCCCTTCCTGCACACAGTACCACTGTAAGATGACGTAGGCCTCCAGAGCAGCCACCAGCATGGGCAGTGAGACCAGTCTGCTTTCACAGGAAAAGCAATGCAGAGGCTTCTGAGCACTGCTGGTGCCTGTGGCCTCCAGGACACTCTTGGCAGTCTGACCTCTAAAGAAACAGTCTGTGATCTTGCTGCAGCAAGCAAACCAGCTCCTCTGTGCAGGGAATGCAACTCATTAATTCCTGCTAAAGAGCTGGGTGACTCAATGGGAATAATGATGTTTGAGGAGAAGAGAGGAGCTGAGTTAAGTGCCACAGTAATGAGGGTTTCCTTCGCATTCCTTTTCCCCAGTGGAATGACTCCTCAAGGGCCATTAGCAATCGCTAACAGTAGTGCTCCCAGTGCTGCTTCGTTTGTCAGATTAATATTTCTTCTTTAGTGAATCGTGTGCTCTTCCAGAGCCCAGCATTACCCAGCATTTCTCATTCTCCTCTATCCCTGCCACACAATGAGCTGGGCTGAGAGCTGTGGTATGACTCAAGTCCCACTGATAAGCCCTGCATGAATGTGCCCGCTCTCCATGCAAGCAGCAGAATGAGTGGTGAATGTAACTGCTCAAGCAAGATATCCCCCGTGGCTTTACCTTGCTGCTTATGAATATCACTGGCTTATGTAAGGCAGCTGTTTTAGGTCCTCTCAGCTTTTGCAAGATCAGCCAAGCTATCTTTCATGACACTCTGTGCCTCTCAGCATCCTTGCTGATAGGCTGGGGGCTGGTTATTTTCCCCACCTCTCTTCTCTCCAACAGACTTCCTTTCAGGATTAGGTTGGGAAGAAGGAGTATTCTCCCTTGAAGAAGCCATTTGGTACTGATGTGAGGGGTTTCTGATTCCTGGCAGGAATCCTGTGGCTGTCACTGGGGTCAGAGATGCTGTACATCAGCCTCTTGCTCATCAGCTTCATCCTCCTGATGGTGGAAATGCTGCACACCGGCAATCCTGTCTGCGGACTGAAGCTCAATGCCTTTGCTGCTGTCTCCTCAGTGCTGTCAGGTAAGTGTGTTACTGTGGAACCTGACAGCAAGACAGGAACATGTGGGCAGAAATAAAAATACACTGACAGCCTTTCTCATTCACCCACCTCTGTTGATGAGAATCAGAGTGAAAGGAGCAGTAAAAAGCCCCTAAAAAGTGTCTAAAAAGAAACACAGTTAATGGGAATTGCAAGGAGACAGTGGTGTAGAAGCAACCCTGGAGAGGTGGTAGAGCAGCTGCTGGCCTTGCACAGCAATAGGAAAGCCTCCTCTCCCACACAAGGCTGAAGCATGCAGCTCTGGCTCCTACTATATCTTCCTTGGTGTTTTTTTTTTTTTTTTTGTCTTCTTTACCAGGTCTCCTTGGGATGGTGGCACACATGATGTACAGCCAAGTCTTCCAAGCCACAGTTAATCTGGGACCAGAGGACTGGAGGCCGCACACATGGGACTACGGCTGGGCTTTCTAGTATGTGAGCTTTGCAGCCACCCTCACTTCCCTGGGCTGTGGGTCTTCAGACATGCTACACCTTGTCCAAACCCTCCTCCCTTCTTGACCCTTTGTGTTTCCAAAGACATGGTTCTCCTAGTGTTGAATCTCCTGATCCCCCTGCTTTAACAAATAGTTGCCAAGTTACTTAAGTGAGTAGGTACCAAGAACTGGTAAAACAATGGAGACACACCTAAACAAGTGCCTTCTCACCTGCTGACTAATCAGACTTGCCTCTATGCTTGTTTGCCCTGTTTAGTCTCAGTTCTTCCCTGTGTGCAGAGGCCACTGCCACACCTGTGATGTTGCTCTCAAAAATGCCTTGCTTTTCTGCAGTTTAAATAAAATTGCATGTTGGTTTGACATCTTCACTGAGCAAAGTCCAAAAGGTCTGTAACTGTAACATCAAGACTAGACGTGGCTCAGGATTTCTTTCTCCAAAGGCTGCAGAAGCTAACCCCAGCTGATACACAATAGATGACTTGTAAAACATTTTGGTGAAGTTATTTATTAGTCTGACATCTCTCGTCTTTCTGTAGCTTGTGTTCATGTTCAGCAGCTTCTACCTGCCAAACCAGTGCACCACGGTGCATACAGTTCAATTCTTTACCTGGCTTTTCATGGCATGTGTTGTTCTTGTTTTTCTCCTGCAGCATGGCCTGGACCTCCTTCACCTGTTGCATGGCTTCTGCTGTCACCACTCTTAACACCTACACCAAGACAGTGCTGGAGTTCAAGCGCAACCACATCAAGGGCTATGATATGAGCTTCAAGGATCAGCCTCAGCACCACCAGTACTTCATACAGCAGCAAATAAGCAGCTACTATGAGTCTCGAGACAAGCCTCTCCATTCAGTGTCCGAGGGAGTTGATTTCTACACTGAGCTGCAGAAGAAAGTGCTGCAGCGGGAACCAGAGCTGGACCTGGATGAGGTCTTGGGACAGACAATTGGAGAAGATCAGTGTTAGGGATGAATGCACAGGGGCTGAACAGTGGGGTTTGGGAAGCAAAAAGCTCTGAACCAAACATTAACACTACTATTAGCAACTTCTTGGGAAGCTCTTCCTTTCTCTAATGTTCAGGGAGTGAGAATAAGAAAATCAGGCACTGGAACAAGGCAACAGCAGTGCCAAGAGGAGGCAAGGCAGGTCCTCTCTGATCACAACCTGAAGAGTGTCTTCAGCTGGGAACGATGAAACTGGGGGGTAAATATCATTGGTGCCATCTGTATCCAAGCACTGTTAGACAGAACTGAGGCAGGTACCCTAATCCCAACAGCACTGCACTAAGGAAAAGATAGACTCAGCCCAACCCAGCTGGCAAATTGCATTGCTGGGCCTCTTTGGGTGGAGTCATATTGCCATTCCAGCAATCTCTTTAGTTCAGCGCTAAGGGCATAGGTGCTCATACTGAGTTGCTGTAGTCCTCCCTGAAGACCCTATTTCTTCCTCATTTGTAGGCCCAGTCTCCTGTCCAACCCACAGATTAAAAGTTCTGCTGGAGTAGAAATGGGAGGTTGCTTTCAAATATCTCCTCCCCTCTCTCTTGTCTGTAAAGGCTCCTATATGCACCCTCCTTGCTTTGCCCCCTCCAGCTCCCATTCTGAGATACTTTCCGGTCTGACTCTTACTATTGTGCTCCTCCACATCCTTTAAGAATCCTAGGCTGAACTCCTGCTTTTTTGTTTCTCTTCACTTGTCCCTTTTCCCCTTAGTGTAAAAATACCACCAACAGTCCCCAAATCAAGCAAACTCATCATCCCTCAAAGGTGAAATGGTGGTTCACATAACACACACTGATGCTGTACACAGTATTTATTTGCTCCACTGCAGTTCACAGTTCAAATACATTTTCTCAACAATATACAGACAGACTCTTTATTCACACTGGGGGCGTGTGTATGCGGGTGGAATGAATTCACATTATGGAGGAGCTAATGTCACTGCACTCAAATATTAGTTCTCTCAGGAAGAACCTCAGGAGAATAACTACTTCAGGTAATAAATGCCTCACCTTTCCCAGCAAGGTGGTGGCTACAGGAGGAAAGGTGCACTCCTGTTTAATCTTCATATATTACTGGTCCTCACACTTTCAGTTCCTATTATACAGCTGTATTAACTAACATAATATTATAAATACTAAGGCGTCTGGAGGAAAATCCCAGGCCTAGAGTTGTTGCTAATATATAGAGTCGTGCTAATATATACAAAGCTATTTACACAAAAATACCATTAAACATATACAAACTGTTCTCAGCTCTGATATTAGGAGAGAAGGGTCCAAAGGCCAGCTTTGGGGCTTGCAGCTAATCCTGAAGAGCTACACTGAAAGCTGTCCTGGAAGCTTTATATGGAGATGCAAGGAGGAAGAAGAAAGGGTGATGTAGCAAGACGAGGTGTCAAGAGCCCAGGGGAGCAAACCCATGTGTCCATCCTTGATGTAAGCATCAAAATGCTGCCATCACCTTGCTACTCGGAGGGAAATGCAGCAAAACAGGAAGAGTACATGTTAGCAGGAGGACCAAAGAGACATCTGCAATTCTCACCTCAGCCTGGCTCTGCATAATGTCAAAGGTCAGATCTGGGAAAACAAGTAACATGTTGCTGCCCTGCATTGTGAGGAGTTGCTAGGGCAGAAAAGTTGTTGGTTTATATATAGTTACTTTATTGCAGGCAATTTCATGTAGATGCTCTGCAACTACAACACACGAGTCTGACAGCACGCTCACAGGCACGATTCAAGGAACTAAATGCCCCAAGAGCAAATAAATGCGCCTTGGGGGCAGCCTATTCCTCCTGGAACTGCTGGGCTGGCAGGCCAACGGTCAAAACCAGAACAGGGTCACATGCACAGAAAAGCTTCCATCTCTACCTCTTGTCTGAGCCACTAAACCCTGAAGCAGTTGTGTGAGAATAAGCTTTTCTATAAGTGTATCTATAGTCCAGTGATCTTTACAGTGCCACTAGGGACCTGATGACAGCCTCTCCCAAAGGGGCTGCAATGCTTTTCAAAGGGGAACTCAGTCCAACGAACTGCAACATGGTGCAACAATGACACTTCAGGTTTATACAGAGCTTAAGGACGGATGAATAAGAGGTAGAAACGAAACGTGAAGCTTTTGCTTCTTGGATCTGGGAAAAGAAACACGTAAGTGCAAATGCTCAAAAATGTTCTTGCAGCCATCTTTCTATCAGGTAATTCAGCAAGAGAGCCAATTTGTTTGTGAGTTTGGCAACAGGATGGTGAAAAGGGCTGAGAGAATAAGAAAGGCTGTAGACAAGACTTGCCCTGCAGAAGCCAGACAGAGGCTACTTTCCAAAAATATGAAGATTAAAGCAGATGGTGTTCTTTACCCACATAATTTGCCTGTAGTTATCATAGACCACCATAGGCTTTGAGCTTGTTTGTCTGCCTGGAATACTGTTTGGACATAAAAAGGAGTGTCCTAAATCTGTTCATAAATTAAACATATAAAAAATATACATATACTCTATAAATTGATACATATATATAACTCGTGTGTGTGTGTGTGCACGCAAGCTCTAAATTCACATTTCCATGTTACCTGGAAGGAAGCATGCAAGAACAGCATACGGATGGGGAGATGCTGAACAAGGTTCATCTGATACAGGACAGATCTGCCAAGGACAAACCAGCTTCCAGCAATATTCCCCAGATAGCTGAAGAAAGGGGAAGTGCCTTTAGTTCCCACTCCCTCTACACAGTAGTTTTCCTGAAGGTCCCCTGAGCAGCTTCCTCTATTCCCCATGCAGGTCATAGGTCCTGTCAAAATCTCAGGCTAGAGCTGGAAAAGGAAAGGGAAACGAAAAACAAAGCCAGAATCCATTATCATTCAGTCCAGTACAGAAAAGTGTTAATTTACTGATCAGCAACACTAGGCACCACTAGGTAGAGGGTGCATGGGGGACCCCTGTTTGGCCATGTTAGAACAAGTGACCACTGCCCTACCTCTCAGTTCTGTCTGTGGGTCCCTCAGTCCTTTATGATTGTCACCCCTGATTCTTTCTAAGATCCTCCTTCTTGTCAAACTGCTAAAGTATAGCTGGGCCTTACACTGTGTCCAGTCTCCACCTAAAGAGACAGCCTGTCATCTTGTAGTCAGTTTGAATCCCACCTCATAGAAAGCACCTAACTGTGTCAGTACGGAAGCAATCGTATATCCTGAACAATCTGCACTGATCACAGATTCCTGCACAATCTTACCTTGTGAGGAAAGTCAACAAATTTCAGCCGAGCAAGAAATCGCCTCACTTCTCCACGGCTGATTTTGGGAGTGGTGGTGTCCTTTAGCCACACCATCCGACCCTGCGTCATCATGGCCCATTTCAAGCCCAACTTGCTGACTGAGAGAAATCCTGGCTGTTTTTCAGAGGTTGCAGTTGTTGTCACAGTGATGTGAAATGCATCCTTTTGGAGATCATTAATTCCAACTGATTCATCAGAAAAGAGAGAGAAAATATTGGTGAGGAATAATAACTATGCTTCCCCCAAAAGAAATCTTACAGTCTTCACTCATTCCAAACAGTCACTGGGCTGAGGATGTATTCAATTTGATTTTTCAATAGCATGAGCCTTAGTTCATTAGGGAAAACAATTTTAAATAAAAATCTTTCCATAGAAATACACTGAAAAGTAGATCAACGATGTCAATTTTTGGTTTCAAGGTTGGTTCCTTTTTTTGTGTTTGACATACAAAATGTACATATTTAATTAATGTAGTTCACTTGAATAGAACATTCCTTTCCACTCCTGCTGGCATAAATTATTACCTCCACAGAAGGGTAAATTGTTAAAGTAGGAGCAAATCAGTTTACTCCGGTTAGCATGGAATGATCTGTACAGACCTCAGAAATCCCAGCTTCTAATAAATCTCTCTAAGAACAATATTCTATTTGTTCTTGACTGAGCTGTTTTTTGATACAAATCTGATTAGACGTATCACTACACAGCAGCTTCTCCCTGCTTCCTGACCTACTGGATTCAGTGCTATATGCACTGACCTTTTATCCTGCATCCTGCCATGCTCAACAAGTTGGATGTCGGTTGAACTGCTTTACAAAAAGAAAGGAAATCCAACAGGGACTGTGAGATCTTGTAAATGTTAAATCTAGATTCACTTTCCCTTGGAAACATGCAGTGAAACATTTTGGATTCTCCTTTTCAAAAAGAAAGAGGAAAGAGCAGTACATCTGCTATCTCAAAGGGCAGGAGAGGACAGCCAGCAAAGGCAGAAGTGTATCTGAGGTGATGTGCTCCACAGAAAGCAAGGGAATGTATCTGGTATTAAACATGCATGAATTCAAACTCAGACTTTTCCATGTTTAAACGTTCAAGAGTCTTGGTGGGCCTTTCATTTGTAAAGTAGGGGTTGGATAGGACCTTTCTTCAGGTGGAAGAGCAATCTGATTTCCCATTGCTGGTCTGTGTGAGTGGTGGATCTCAAATACTACCTATTAGTACATGTGGTATACCACAAATATACCACTTTGTTTTTTACAGCTACATCTTCATTCCTCCATTTCTATTAGGCTAGGTAGTCTCTCCACCATTTGAACTCACCTGCTGAAGCAATGACTTTGTCTGTTGCATTGGTGAGGTCCAAAAGGACTGTAGGGAAAACAGGATGGAGAAGATAAAGGTGGTGCAGCGCCGGGCGCTCAGATCTGGGACCAGGATGCTGATGGAATGAAAAATGAACAAAAATGTTACAGATGACTACCAAAAGACAGTCTAGCTTTGCCAAAGGGAAAAAAAAAATGTTTACCGACATTGTGCTACCTTTGCTTGGTACTGAGAATCAAAAACTTAATGGCTCCACAGAGCTGAAAGAGTGCAAAACATTTTTTCTCAAACAAAATTTGCTCCCCAGCCTCTGTTTGGTAAAGTTGAGATTTTGCTCTATGAAAGCTGGCTTGATTGGCCAAGCTACAGTACGGAAGTTTGGAACTCCATGCTGACTTGTATGTCGGTATGCTGAAAAGAATCTCTCAGGGTCTGGGAACAAAGTTGCAGGCAGAAAATCTCAGTGCTGCAGAAAAAACGAATTATTTTCATAACACAGAAAATTTTGGTTTCATGGAAGGGAGCTCTCAGTCTATGAAGTTTTTTGATGGAAAAATCATACATATGCTACTGTGTACAGGCTTGAAGAAGTCCATCCAAGTCAAAGCAAGAGGGAAAGATGTCCCTAGCAGTCTCAAATAGCAGGTTTAGAGTTCAATTACATTAGGAATGAAAGACAGAGATTACATGTACCTCACAGAAAATTCAAAGTGAAGAAAGGGTAGCTGCTCACCAAACTCTGTAGCACAGGCTGTGCCTCATCAGCCCAGAAGAGAAAAACAGACTTCTTGTCCAAAGTCATGACTGACAGAGCATCAAGTTGCTGTTTCTGCCATGGGAGTTCCTGCTTCCAAACAGGGAGGCCAGATTTGCCATCTACCACCACCACCTGAGGATACAGAAAGAGATGTAGCATTAATGAGTGTTCAGGTGCAGGCGCAAAGAGAGTGCTATTTTCTGTCAGGCCTGTGGCCACATAGAGACCAGTGTCAGCCGCAGACATAGGAATTGCCGAAAGTAAAGAATCACTGCCCCTTTCAACCCAGGCTCCTTCACTTTTAAGTTGCCAGTGCCCTCTCTGCTGCCTCTTGTTTTACCTTTTTCTTCCCATTTCCGGTCTGTGCTTGCAGCATGAAGTCCAGGGTTTGATCAGCACTGAAGTACCCCAGTATTGGCTGGCTGCAAATTTGAACAAAAAAACCACTCAGCTTTATGACAGAAAAAAAGGAATTGCTTTCATCCTCTATTCTGCCTCTTACCAAGGCAGTAATTGCCAAAATATTTTATCCACTGAGAGTCATTCTTATTGGCAGAAACCATTTTTTGTTGGATAAGAAAAGTGAAAAATGATCAAACTGCCCATAGCGCTTACTGGCCATTCTTCAGAGTTGACTGGGGGTAGGGGGAGGTGGTGCAATCCCTGCTGGGCTATGTAGGTATTTGTTTATCACCCTATGGCATGGCTGTATTATTCTTTCCCTAGAATGAGAATCTGTTCAGTTTTGCTACAGTCATAAAAAATTACCCAAACCTTTCAAAATTCATCAAGAGATTGGACCTCCTGCTCAAAGCAGTTTTAAAAAAAGTTCTTTTTTATCCTCTCCCTTCTGGGCAACTTAACACTATTACTTAAATATCTGTTATTATAACTGCTTTCTAACCATCTTACTTGCTTTTCGCTTTCTGAATCTAACCTCTGTCCTTCCTAAATTCAGCACAGCTGGGCCTAAGAAGCATACATGATTTCTTTGAATTCACAGTTTCATAGGGCAAGGCTAGATGACCAGAGCATGTCCTTCCTCCTTTTATTTATGATACTCTGTTGTATTTTATCCAGTTAACCAAGCACTAGAGTTTGGCAAGATGTGCCCAGCCATGAGACTTGCTATGGAAATACAAAGACAAGATAAATTAATCACTTCTTGTGACAGTCAGTTCTAATGATTAATCTCATCCTCAGAAACATGGCTGCATTTTCATTTTCTGGAACATGAGCAGCTTCTGCTCCAAAGCACTTTTCTTGCTACAGCAAGATTAAAATTCCTGTTAGCTCCTGTTACTTACATGCACACATGAACTCATCTCTCAAGCTTCCTCATCTAAACACAAACTTAAATCTTCTATGCTGAGGCATTTTTCCAGCCCTTTTATCCAGATTTTCCAGCCACTACTTTAAAATGTGCAGACCAGAATGGCTTTTTAAGAGTAATGCCACAGCACAACAGTGGCTTACTATCTATACTTGTATCAAGGAGGCTACGAAGATGATAGAAAACCCACAGGGCAACATATATGAAGAGCAGCTGAGGTCCCCTGGTTGATTCAGCGCAGAGCAGAGGAGCTGAAGGGAGGCCTGATGGCTGCAGCTCCTCACAGGGAGTGGAGTGGCAGCGCTGAGCTCTGCTCTGTGTGACAGTGACAGGGCCCAGGGAAAGGCATGGAGCTGACAGGGGAGGGCGGCTGGGGGTGAGGGACAGGGTCTGCACCAGAGGGCAGTGGGCATGGAACGGGCTGCCCCGTGTAGTGATCATGGCCCCGTGGTACTCAAGAAGCATCTGGATAACAATCTCAGACATATGGTCTGATTTTTGGGTGGTGCTCTGTGGAGCCAGGAGTTGGACTTGATGATCCTTGGGTATCCCTTTCAACTCTGAATGTTCTACAATTCCATTATTTTATTATTAACATAGTACACTTTGGCAATCACAGCTAATAATTTAGAGGCAGTCTCATGACACGTTCCTATAACTTAAAAAATCTCCTGTACCAAAAAGAAGCAGTAGGCTATTCTGTTCTGAGGGCATTCACTTAAACTCTCTCCTGATGTGGCACTTCTCGTACTTCTGGCAGGCTACAGTCAGTGGCAGATTCCACACATCGAATGCAGGCAGGCATATGTATTTTAGATGCTACCAATCAACTGAAAAATCCCTTGGGCACTTTC